CTTACGTAATAATTATCTATTTTTTAATGCGTTCAAAGATGTCGATGAATGCTCATCAGACAGCGTCCGTTCCTGCCACGCGAAAGCAACGTGCACCAATTCTGACGGGTCATACAGCTGTGAATGTCGTAATGGTTACTATGGCGATGGCCGTATAAGCTGTGCAGGTATCATATATCATACCAATAATGCTAGTTATCTGTTTATTTGGTTCCTGARTGCGTTTATTTAGTTCAATGACCTCAAATGCGACTTCAAGTAATGACCACATTATCCATGAATAACTTATTCGACTTTTTGCTTTGCAAACTTGACCATTCAGGAGGAGCCGACGGGTCTGTTCTTCTAAATCAGAACTGTTCTTGTACGAATTTTTTCCTGGGAAGGGGTTCAGCTACATTAATGACATTCTCAAAAGAAAATGTGGCGCCCATCCTTCTTTAAAATAACATTCTTCCCGGAAAAAGTTTTGAAGGTCAAAAAATGCTTATATAATAACGTTTTCATGGTCAAAAACGGCCTATATTTTTTTTTAGTTAGGAAATTTTTATTTTTCTGGCAAAAATTCTTACAAAGTATTCCTTGCCTTGAGAGTTCTTTTTCCTCTGAATTTCTTGCTAGCAACCAGTTGTGATTTACAGCTGACTGGGAAATAAGAACAGATATATTTCTCCCAGGAACCCGTCGGCTCCTCCTAACCCATGATCTTATAGTATGCTGGATATTTTGCAAAAAAACACGCATTCGTGCTATATAGACGGTTGTACACGAGTAATGCTCGCGTCGGCGAGTTACTAGTGTTGGAAGGGTAGCCTTTTCMTCTATGTAGTAACCTTGCAATCTTATTGTAAATTGATATGTTTATAACACATTTTGCAATCTAAAGATATTGATGAGTGCTCTGGAGACTATTCATGTCATGTGAACGCAAAGTGCAAGAATACTGATGGAAGCTATGATTGTGTTTGCAATGCCGGTTACCAGGGAGATGGCAGCAGTTGCCAAGGTATCAAAACATGAGTTTCTTCATAGTAACCTTGTCTTTCCTACTCAGTATGTTATTGCGACATTTAGTATTTTATACATTTTGAACATTTCAGACATTGACGAATGCTCAACGAAAGCACATGGTTGTCACGTGAACGCAACGTGCAAAAACACCGATGGAAGCTATTCGTGCGCGTGCAAAGCCGGCTTCTATGGAGATGGCAGAAACTGCAGGGGTAAATCAAAAAATATTGCCATACATGATTGATACGTGTTGTTGTTGATACACCGATTTGTTTCATAGGCCCCGTAACGTGCAAAGAGATGAAAGCTAGCTTAACGTCGTAAGTAAGAATATAGCAACCAAACATGTGCGATCAAAAGCACATTGGACGGTTCTTGGGTATTTCGTAAGGGTATTTGGTAATGTTTGAATTGATCTTGACTGCTCTTGATTCAAGGTACCTAATGAAGTGATGCAGCAAAGAATAATTCAGTTTAAAAAAAAATCGATTTTCATGTTGATTTGTCGATTTCGATTGTCGATTTCGATTGTCGATTTCGATTGTCGATTTCGATTGTCGA